CGTTAAGTTGTCCCTCGATCTGCCTTGCCCGTCGCTCCCAATTCCTACCAACGCTGATCCGACAGAAGCGCACATTTCAGGTCGTGACGCGACACCTCTGACACGATGGACTCTCAAGATGTGGTGGAAGCTCAGCTGGGCGGAGGCAACATAGAGCCCACGAAGCAGTCAATGACTCTGACTCATCAGACTAAGCAGGCATCTCCGCTCTCGCAATTGCCTCGATCACAACCGCTCTCTATGCTGGATGCAAACGTAGACGCAGCGCGTCAAGTGCCCACAACTCGCGAGATACAGACCAAACAAGCGCGAGATTCGATGATGTCCTCGGATCGATCTTCTCCGCCGCCTAGCTCGCCACCGAGTCTTGCTCACGGTCTGTCAAGTCCTCCTTCAAGCGTATTTGCCCCCAGCTCGCCCTCCAAGCTGGAAGACGCTTCTAGCCCGCCGCCCAAGGCAACCAGATACGCGCAGGAGACGTCCGCTAGCGAGCCACATGCCACCATTGGTTTTGGCCTCAGTGAGACGTGCTCAGGAGGCAGGACATCTGTGGATTCGCTTGCCGGCATGCGCTCTCTACCGCCCCAAGACCCAGCCGGCGCGCCCTCTCTCCTTCTTCTAGGCTCCTACGATCATGCCCTTCTGCTCGGCCGCACGAAACAAGGTCCTGACGGCTCCTCGCCCGTGCCGCCTCCTTTGCCCCTATCAAGCAAAGGCTTGGGGGCCAAGCCCGCCCAATTCGTTCCTTTGCCCAGCAGTGCACGGCACGTGTCCAGAGTCCACGCCATCGTGGAGTGGCTGCCTTTCCCCATTTCAAAGTCCAGCGCGCCAAGTAACCAAAAGGGACCCTTGTCTTCCCCGCCTCTGTCCGATACCGGCTGCTTTATCATCCGCATTCTGGGCCAAAATGGCTTGGTAGTAGACGGTAAAAGGCGTAGAGAAGGGCAAGTCATTCGACTGCGACCCGCTCGGTACGGCCTCGAGACCAGCATGGGCGGCGAAAAGGAAGCAGCCGCGAGGTCCGTGACGCCATCCGCGTCTGGCGAGGAAGGCTCCCTATTGGATTTCTTCGGCACTGCTCTGCGCTTTGCCATCGATGATCGAGCAAAGCCGCCGCCATCAGCACGCAAAAGCTCGTCCAATGCTGATGTTTGCACGCCACCGCTTCCCGCTCACAAAAAGACGAATGGAAGCAGCCCGAGAAAACCCCACGCGCCGTTGCGAAGCTCGCAGCTTAGGATCAGTAGCAGCTCCAGCGACGCTAGCGCCAGTGGTAGCG